GGGGGGGGGTTCTACATAACCTGTAAAATTCCTAATGTTACCAAGTTTTATGCCTTCGAAACATATGCATAGAAAAAATATAGTTTGGAATACTTCCTGGGAAAATTCTCCTGGTGCTCCCAAACATCTTTGTAATCTCCAAGGTCAGCTCTAGATGTGCGATGATGAATATAAATGTGCCAAAAGATTTGAGGACCCTTTTCTTCTAGCATCTCACAGGTCTGTTCTAGTAGTAAGCCATGCTTCTGGAAAGCTGCAGCTGCAGATGTGATGAATGCTCTGGGCTTAACAGGACAGCCTCCTTTTTAATGCATTTTGTAAATCTGATTTTTTTAAATAAATCATTTTATTTATTTTTGAGCATCGAGTGATGTCAAAATCATTCTACTTAGTGAAATCTAACCGATTGTCTCTTTCTCTTTTTTAAATCATTTTATTGGGGTCTCGTACAACTCTTACCACATCCATCCATCCAGTGTGTCCAATCCAATTCTCTTAATGACGAAAAAATGCACCTACTTCGTCACCATCCAGACTACTACGAGAGGATATGCTTATGAGTTTCTTTTTTTTTTCCTTTAGACACAGAACAACAACAACATATAATTGATCAAGGCTTCATGAGGGCGGCAGGGTGGGGGAGGGAGGGGAAAAGAGGAGTAGAACCAAGGGCTCAAGTAGAAAATGTTTTGGCAACGATGGTGGCAACATATGTGAAAATATGCTTGATACAATTGCTGTGTGGAATGTTATAAAAGCTGTAAGAGCCCTCAATAAAATGACGTTTTTTTAATTAGCCACAATTAAACTTTTACTTGGAATGCCATAGTCTTCTGGAAATCGGCTCACCTCTTCTCAAGCCCCGCCCATTTTTCATAGACGCACTCAAAGTTTTTATCTTCATCCTTTTTCATTAATTACTTTTGATCCTCATTTTGAACCCGTGCATGACCAGTGCTCTGCCTGATTTGAACACTGTATGGATTTCTTTCTAGGATTTAGATGTTGTACATGGGAAGCAACATTTTGAATGCTTTCATGGGTTCTAAAGCTAATGTGAATTACTCTTGTATTTTCCTTTATCAGGAAATAAAGAAGGAGGAAGCTATGACCCACACAGGTATTCACACTTTTTTATTCTCCTTGGCAACTTCCTTCCCTGTAATTGCACGAGCCAGCTATCATTTCAACCAATGGCTGCTCTTGCTCATGTTGCACAGAACGTAACGTGGGGTGCATGCCTCTTCTAACCGCAGTCTCCACCAAATGTTGTCACTGCCTTTAGGTCTGGTTTGGGGCTCTCAATTCAGCTCACTGTCTCAAGATGTCTCTCAGAACATTCACTCACTCCCGTGCTTCTTTCTGTTGGTGGATGCTTTGAAGCATGGAATGATGTAAAAGGGTGGGGTGGAGAAGTAATACAACCCCGGGAGCTCTGGGAGGGGAGCTTTGGGAACCCTTAAAATTCCCCTCCATGTAATGGTTGCACCTTGATTTGATGAGAAAGCTTGATGGAAACTAGCTGGAGATTTTTATAATTGCCCAGAGATTGCAAATGGAGTAAGGGAATTTTAAGAGAATGCTTCAGCAGAAATTAGAGGAAAGAAAAGGAACTTCTTAAGTCTGATAAGAAGCACTGGTGATGTGAGTGTGTAAGATGGTAAAGAGTGAGGAGAACATTCTGGATGTTGGAGACAAGCATGTGGATCTAGATGCTTAAAAAGGTCTTCACATAGCATCGATGCCACTAATGTCCGAGACAGTAGTGCCAGTCTCAACACACAGACACTCATATACTTCTCCCAACCCCTTACTCACTGGTCATCTTGCATGGCTGTTGTTGATTGCCATTGAGTCAGTTCCAAGTCATGGTGACCTCAGATACAAAAAAAATATCGCCTGGTCCTTTACCATGTTCGCGATCATAGGTATGACTCAAGTCTATTGCCGTACGACTGTGTACTACGGATGTCTCCCAACTCTTCTCTCAGACAATATTGCCTTGTGATCCATAGGCTTTCCAGCCAATAACTCTCTGAAGTAGATCACTAGGCCTTTCTTCCTGGTCTGTCTTCATCTGGCAACTGCCGAAACCTGACCATCATGGAGGACCCCACTGGCCTTTGTAACAAAGGCAGAATAGCTTTCAACACCATAGCAACACACAATGCAAGCCCCTGCTCTACAACAAACCAGAAGACAGGTCACTTGGTCACTCAGCAGTGGGAGACCTTTCTGAATTTCCACGAAAAGCCCAGACCTCAGGGACGTCAGGAGCATCCATTGGGTGGCAGATGATATAGGACAGCTGTGGGAATTCTGAAGGCGCCCATGAGTCAATGCCCATTCAAGTTCATGAATCCACCTGGGAGAAAAGTCCCCATCAAAGAATGGAGTTCCTTGGCTCCATTACATGTTAATACCTCCAGAGGTACAAATGTTATTGCTGTTTCAGGCTTCTGTCTACCTCCTCCTCTGTCTCCGATTCCACTTTTTAGAGGGCGGCTCTTTATACCACTTAGAAGTTAAACAGCAAATAGAAAAGGGAGTAGGGAAGAGGTAAACCACCAAGGAAAACAAAGGAAGTGGACTTAACTTTAAAAAGAAAAACCAAAACGTTTCATTGTGCATTGGGGTGGAGACGTGTGGAGCGGATCATCAGTTTTCCAGGAAACAGTTGAAACACATTTTGTTTCATCTCACTGATTGCGATAGATCCCCTCCATGTGATACCACTTAACCCACCTCCTCCCGGTGTTTGTTTCCATTCCTCCTTATTCCCTAAGCCTTCTGAGCTTGGTCCTCCGTAAGTGCTGCTGTTTTGATCTCAAATGGCTGACAGGTCTATAGGGTGTGTCCCTCACTGGTGTTGTTTTTCCCCCTCATGAACCTATCGCTTGCCCCCAAAACTGAGCCGCGGGAGTGAGTTGAGTTCCAGACCTGAAAGAAGTATCTATAAGGAGCATGGTCTTGGGGGCCCACCAGTCTCTACCCAACCAGTCCTGCCCTTTCCTGGGATTTTGAGTTTTGTTCCACATTTTTCTCCTACCCTAGGCCGAAACTTCGACTATCATCCCTTTGAGAGCGGTTGGTCATGGTGGCTGGCACCTGGAGGAAATTGTCATTTATCAATCTCATCTTTTCCTGGCCTCTCTCTTTCCTCTTTCTGCCTCACACCGACCGTGCTCCTCACACACGACATCGGCTACGGAGCCCGCTCTTACGCTGGGCTACACCAGGACAGGGACTGATAGGTAACATGGTCCATGCTTCAGGACTGATCTTCCTGTTTCCTGGGAGACACATTAAAAGATGTCTGAGGTGGAACATTTTAAATGGACCTAGCACTCAATATTGACTTTACCTTTATTTTATGATGCACTCAATTTTATAGATCGTTTTCCGTCTGGCCTGAAAATGTCTGCCAAGATAGACGTAAAAGGGGAGTTTAAGAGCAGGTTATTTAAGACATAAGCTTGGTCAGAGCTGAGTCAGAGTTCCTCTCCATTAAACCATCACTGAGATGAAGTGTTTTTAACTGAACTTCAGGAGCCATGAAACCACAAACACTTGGGCTCATCCCCATCTGTTTCCTGTCACCACCACTAGGCAAGTGAAACCAGTCCATCGTTTCTGAGGTCATTTAGACCCAGCCTTAGCCACTGAAAGATAATTACTGATGTAATTCCCTCTCCAATAGTGACTGTCTCCGTCCCCCACACGCACACCCATCCCTAAATTCCTTACCAAAGAGCAAGTCTAAGGATACCGTCTGGCATCTTCACACCATCTCATGATCCACGAAGGAAGCCATTATTTACTCGGTAACCATGTCACAGGTAGGAATACACACTTGGGGGCTCCCTGAACACCCAGATGCAATGTCTGATGTGACCTTACCCAGTCGCAGAATCATGTTGGGATCGAAAGGGAGCAGCTCTAGAACAATCTCTTTTATATGTTATATGTCGAATGAACCAACTGCTGAAAAGACTTGCCATCTACCTTCTGGGGTTCACCGAGCAAAGCCCTCTCCATTGCTGTTATCACATAAGGGATTTTAGGAAACTTAACTTTTAAAGATAGTCATAGGAAGGCTAACTAAAATGAGTTTTCCATCATGATATTTGAGCACAAAGACCTTGAGAGAAATGAGAACTACCAAACCAAAGAATTTGACGTTTGGACATTTATCAGAAACTTGATTTTGCGTACCACCGATGATGTGTTGTGCTTTGTTTTTAAACTGCTTTCTGCTTCTTGAAGTTTCCGAAAATTCATCTTTGACTTGCCAAGAAGGTTTTTAAGAAGCAAGTTAGTCCCTGTTCAAGTCATTATGTTTCTGGCCTCGGCGTCTGTGCAGGCGGGGGTAGCTGGAATCCCTGTACTTACTCACACCGGTCACTTTCCAGTTAGGACAGGCTCAAAATCAAAGCACAGCTCAGACATCATTTTGGCTGGAGTTGAAAGCAATCCTTTCTAACTGTGTTGCAAGTTATTTTCCCCTGGCATTTGAAAGCTAATGCTCCTGCCTTTGATGTCCAACAGGAGCTCCTGGCTACCATGACTGTGTGTCCAGTGACTGTGTGGAGTCAGTGGCAGCCTGCAGCCAACACCCTTTTGCGCTAAGCTCTACTGGTCATCAGACCACATGTCTCTGCAATATTGCTTTCACTATGTTGACTCCGCTCTCCCTACAGCAGTAGTTTCCATGAAGACAGACATAGGGGCCCTACCTGGATGTTAGCGGCCCTACCACACTGTGGTTATGAGTGTGGATCCTGGAGCCAGATTGCTGTGGTTCGAATCCCATCCTTGCTGTTGAGCCTGCTTAGACAGTCTGGCACGTAGCATGCCCAGTGATTAGTATGACTAGTAAAGTACAGCACAGCATGCAGAACATTTGAATGAGTGCCGCTGCGTGTGAAAGAGAACTAAAGAGCAGTAGCATCCTGCCAGACAATGTCACTCTGTTGAATAAAGGAAACACAGGGAGATCTTCATCGGCGCCACCACTATTCCCACTGTCATTCAAGGGCAGTCAAGCATTAGGCAGGCACGTTGCTGCGCTGAGCTGCGGAAGCATCTTGAGATGAGAAGAAAACACTGACCTTCGCTGCCCAACCCTCAATTCTTAAAAGTTTGTGATTCTCTTCTCTCTGCTACACCGCAGGGACTCCTTGTTTGTTTCAAGTTGCCTTGCCAACACGACTGGATTTTTCTTTCAAATGTGTTCTCCCAAGAGATGAGTCAGAGGCAGGGTTGAGACAAGATTAGCCTCTCGGAGGGGTGAAGGCCCTAGGGTTGGGGTTGGTAGGATCTGAGATCGGGTCCGGGGCACACAGTGGTGGGTGGCACCCTGCACAGGGAGCTGCTGCTGAGCAGCAAGTAGGTACTAAATACGCTGTACCTCTGCCAAAGAAACCGCGTGTTTCTTCACTCACAGTGACTACCCTGGGCAGGGTTAGAGCAGGGCTTAGGTGAGTCTAAGCACCAGAAAATGCCCATAACCACCTCCT